TCCGCTGTCCATAGCGTTCCTTGACAGTGTCGTTTCTAAGTCACCAATTTAGTGCTACTTGGTCCCAATGGAATTTCCCATTGGGAACCTACTAGCACTGAGTTTCTAACTGGTTAGCAGGATGCTTCCGACAAACCGACCACAGTCAAAATGCTTGCATTCCTTCCACCACAACAATCCCACTCCCTTGATAATCGACAAATCACATTCCCTTTACTTGTGCAAAGTCGGGCACCACTCGGGAGAATTCAACCGTTTCCCCCACGACTTTAATGAGAAGGTAAAGAAATGTGGACTGGATTAGGAATTTTACTCTAAATTAACACTAGGATTAGATCCTTTTCTCTGGTTCTTGGAGGACTACAGAAAAGTCTGTATGTCTGTTTTTATCATAAACAACATTCTGATTTTCAGTCCATGTATCACGACCGCCAGGGAGTAGCAGTGGTGCCGCCCACTGTGCCAGGAGCCTACCTGGGGATCCCAGAAAAGGGCACCATGAGGAAGCAGAAGTCTATAGGTAGGATTCCTGTGGAGTATGTGTGTGTTTGTAGGGGGGTGAGTCCGGTGGCTTTTAGCTTGTCAGACGCTTCTGTCGGGGCTCAGAGGACAGTCTCCTTGTGCAATATTACAGCTAATTAAAGATAAATTGAAATGTTCCGGTCAGCAAAGTGTGCTTTCAGGCGGCAATAATGGAGGTCATTAAGCGTATGCAGAGACTTGGCTGTCACTGCAAAGCTAGAGGAGCGTCATGAAGGCTGATGTTACTCATGGGTGCTCTGATTAGGAATGCAATCAGTGTTATTATTACAGGAAAGGATGAATGTTAAGGTAACATAACTATGCAGGGAATTCATGTGTATTTTAATACTGATTGACTTAAATAAAAAGCTACATGCAAAATTTGAAGTAAAGGGAATTCAATGTCAAAATGTATTCCTGCTGTTGCTGTTTTTTGTTCTGATTTGATGCAGAATGAGCAGCAGTGCATGGTTGAAAAGTGGAAGCAAAATAAGTATTTTCTAACAAATAAAAAACTAAACTGTGTGGAATGTATTTGGATTTTATTTCCTCTACTCTGATACACCTTGATATGATCTAAATAAATAGTTGCTATCTAAATTATCTAGTCTGTAATTAGTCTTGGTTTGCATTGGAACAGTGAAAGCAAGCCACAGAAAACATGCAGTCAGATAGACCAGTGTAATGTTTCTGGACCTACATATAAAATGCTGGAAAACTAACCCTGGAAATTACACTAATAAGGTCTGTGTAGGATCATTTGAATCCCAAATGATCCTACAACCGCTTCCACTCCACACCAAAACCTGAAGCTGAGGCTGCAGAAAAGGGGGAAATTCCATCAGTTATAAACAGAACCACCAACATACGCGGTAAAATCTCCAGCAGCAGTAGAGATTGGATTTTTCTTTTATATCTCCAAGAATGAAACTGTGTGCTGAAAAGCCTGATCACAGGCAGGAAACTGAACCATTTTAAAGAAAGAAAAGGGAAAAAAAGCTGCTGCTGTTTTCCAGATTTATCATCTGTCCTCAAACGTTTCTGACCTTTCATTAATGCTCCAGTTATCGCCTCCTGCTGGCCAAGCATGTTTGTTTAAATTGATTTTTGAACAAGGATCCCTTTTTGTGAATCAGTCACTGGTCTGTTCCAGCAGGAGAAAAATTATTTGGTCTAATTTTAAGCCAAACCATGAACCTTTATAACCTTTTTTTTATCCTCCAAGCAATGATGAAGGTAGGAAATGTGAAATTCGCAGATTGCCTTTGTTTTTTAGCTTGTTGGTGCTCAAACACATAGTCTGCAGTCTTATGTTGTCATAAAATTACCGAAAAATAACAATGTCTCCAAATAGCATAATCTGTCAAATTGTTAAAAGGATCAATAAGGTTCCTTTAACAAGAATTTAAACCTATCTTTACGGGCAGAAATAAGAGTATGGCCTGATTTTTTTTCCTCTATTCTCCATTTCCTAAAGGTACGTCGGAGGATGATAAACAGGGACTCCTAACGCCTCCCCTGCTCAAGTTCTCCCGCAGCCTCTCAATGCCTGACACCTCAGAGGATATCCCTCCTCCCCCAGCGATTTCCCCGCCTTCACCACCTGCCTATAACTCAGTTGCTGGACCTACAGCAAAAAACTACGGCACCACTCGACCGAACTTCACCCAAAACTCACCAAACGCAGTCACCACCATCAGCCGGACCACGGATGTTGGCAGGTTACGCCGTGGATATTTCCGTCAGAGCTCGGAGCAGTTTGAGAGCACACGTACTAGAGGGCGCGCACCCGTGCCTGAGAACCCTTACTCTGAGGTCGGCAATAAGACGCTTTATGTGCCAGCAAAACCAGCTAGAAGGAAGGGAATGTTGGTAAAACAGCCTAATGTAGAGGACAGTCCAGAGAAAACATGCCACGTGCCATCCAGCCCTTCGGGTGCAGTTTCCATGCCCACAACACCTGTCGAAAGGACGTGCTCTTCTATCCCCATTCCCACCATCATTGTTAAAGAACCTTCCACCAGCAGCAGCGGCAAAAGCAGCCAGGGTAGCAGCATGGAGATTGAACCCACTACCCCAGAACATCCCCCTCTAACATCCACCATTGGGGGAAGTGGAGGTTTGCGTCCTGAAGACCCAATGTCTCTTAGCAACCCCTTTGCAGTAGCTATCGCTGGAGCTGTGAGGGACCGTGAAAAGAGACTTGAAGCGAAAAAGAACTCGATTGCCTTCCAGTCAATAGACATAGGGGATGATGAAATGAGCAGCCCCGCACCAACTCCTCGTCTTCGCCAATCTAAATCCATTGATGAGGGCATGTTCAGCAGTGATGAACGCCTACGAAGGATATTAGCTCCCCCTTCTACAGTCCAACTTGGACCCCCAGTAGGTGGTGGTAGTGGAAATATGACAGATTTCAACACGCCAGAGCCCACAGTGGTTCGGGAGCCTCTGAACACCAGAACAGGCCAGTGTCCCAATCTGGACAGTCCAGTAAGTCTCCCAGCCACTCCTCCTAAGAGCCATTACAAGGCTAATGGAACCTACCTCCATCCTGTCACTGGTAAACCCTTGGACCCTAACTCTCCTCTAGCTTTGGCGTTAGCAGCTCGTGACCGAGCCATGAAGGAGCAACAGAACCATCCGCAGAATCAGCCAACAAATCCCCCTCAGGTTCAGCAAACACCCAAACATGAAGCCCAGTCCCTGCCACTTCAGCAGAGCCACAAACCAGACCTCAACCAACCGCTTTTTATTGACACCAAATTGCGTTCTGGGATCGAGACCAGCTTTGCAGCAATCTCCACGGCAACCATGGGACGGCCAGGCAGAGGTGGGCTCCGGCGGCAGATGACTGAGCAGAAGTATGAATCCGATGGAGCGCGGGAACAGCGGCCGCATCAGACAGTTGAGGAGCGAAAAAGCGCGCCCGCCAATGTGGCAGAGGCGTCGCAACCCAAGTCAACTGGGCTGTTGATGGTCCACACAAGCCCTGACACACCAAACAACAAAGTCAATAACCAGGAGGTAGAGGTGCAGGAAAGCAACCGTCCTTCTGAGCTGAAGGACCCCAACCAGCCTGATCATCACATTGCTCCAACAATCTCCGCCAATCCTCAACAAGCCGCCTCAAGGAGAAGAAGTGTTCCTCTAGGAGAATCTTTAGAAGAACCAGTAAAACTGCCATTCCGTATCCCCCCTCCACCACTAGCATCAGTCGACATAGATGAGGACTTTGAGTTCTCAGAGCCTCTTCCCCCACCACTTGAGTTTGCAAACAGTATTGACATTCCTGATGACCAGGCCAGTGCCATTGCAGAGATGATTCAGCAGCAGAGACGAAACGGAGGACATCCTTTACCACCTTACCATCCCCACGCCCCTCCATCTGTCAGTGATCACCAGAAACGTGTGCTTAACAGCATGCCCCCTTCGTACCACCCAGCTCCACCTGAACCAGAATCAGGGGTGGCGGATTCTGGCATTGAAGAGGTTGACAGCCGCAGCAGTGGAGATCCTCATCACATGGAAACCACCAGCACTGTTTCCAGCATCTCCACCCTATCTTCAGAAGGAGGCTTCTGCGACAGTGCTTTGGAGAGCCTCTACACCACTACAGATGGACACGCCTTTTTAGTGGACCGGCCGCCTGTCCCACCCAAACCCAAGGGAAAGTCTGTTATCAATAGAACTGCGCTTTATCATGACGCTCTCATTGAAGAGCCCCCTGAGTCTTATGGGTCACCGCCTCAAGCGCCTCCTCCTCCCCCATCTTCTTCTGAGCCTCCTAGGACTCCTTCTCAAAGGACATCCAAACTGTGGGGGGATCAGCCCCCCGAGCTACGCAGTCCCCCATCCACGCCAGACTCCAAGAACACCGTGATTACAGAGCTCAGCTCTATCCTGCAGCACATTAATCGCGACAGGCCCACCAAGCCAGGAGAGGCCCTCGACTCCCCCACAGCCACCCGAGGGGGCTTAACATCCAGGTATGTCAGGCTTTCTTGCTATTTTCTATCTGATATATTCTACTGAGATCATCAGACTGAATGATTTACACTGTTCTCAATAATGGTTCCATTAGGAATTTCCAGAGGCTTTTAGCTATCATTTGAGTGATGGCGTTTTTTTTTTTTTAAGTTTGTGCTACTTGTTAACATGTAATCTGAGGTTGATGTTGGTAACTTTCTGCACTGAAATTCTGCTAAAAAACATTGGGTTGAGGTAATGAACCCTTCCTGGAATTGGGATCAGCTTAGCCAAGATGCTGTTTCCATGGGATGGGCAGGAATTATTTAGCTTTCATCTAAGCTGAAAATGTAGATGCTTCAATCAATCACAATCAATCCATTGGTTGGTTCAAGGTGGCTTTTTTCGGACAGATTTAATTAGGAAGTCTTATATTTTCCTCGAAGTTTTCCTAGTTATGTTTTAACTAAATATATTTTTATGTCTCCATTAATTTTTCATACCACCATTTATTAGCAAAAATTAAGGAAATCTAGGCAGTGAGTTAAAAGTTGAAATCAGAGTTCAATTAACTTTATTTGTATAGCACCAATTCACGGCATGTCATCTCAAGACACTTTACAGAGACATTTTCATCAAGTCATACAGACAGGTTGGTTAATGCTTTTCTATCTAACATAAAGCCGACGACTGAATCCAGTCTTTGACTTTGCAGGATTCGATCCTCCCCGGGTTGTACAGTAGGCATTTGCTTGTATTGTGTTGTTGACTCTACAGCTTGCTATGACATTGAGCATGCAGCAACAGTGGAAGGAAAAACTGCCTGTAAAGGAAACCTTCAGCAGAACCAGGCTTAGTGTGAGCGACCTTCTGTCGAGGCCGAATGGGGTTCAAGGAGACAGAAGCAGCATAAAAGCACTGATCTATAAATACTTCCTTTGTTAGAAAAGGTAATGGTAAACTTGCTAAATAAACAGTTTTGCAGATTAGCTCTTTGCCAGTTTTCATGCCAAAAGGGATGAAAGAGAGCATATACGGTTGTCCTAAGTTAAAGCTAAGCCCATAGCTATGTCAAGTAAAGAAACAGGACTAAGCTCTTAAAAACAACTCCAAATTATTAATCTATAATTGAAGGTGTTAATGGCAGCAGCAAAGATAATATTTCTCTCCAGGATGGAGTCACAGCCAAACAGGTACAGACCAGATGAAGCTACTATGAGAAAAAGCAGAGAGAGCCGAACGTTAGAGACTGAACTAACAGATACTGCAGAGTGGGAGAATAGAGTTTGAATGAAGCACTTTGATGAAAAGGGGTCCCTATGTCCTCCAGCAGTCTAAGCCTATAGCAGCAAAGTTATAGAGATAGCTCAGGATAACCTGAGCCACCCTTACTGAAAACATTATCAAAAAGCCTAATCTTAGTAGCAGGCGTGGAATCTGCCCTTACAGACTAAAACTGTTTGTTGGTTTGTCATTATCGGATGAAACCTGGATATTTCAGGCTTTATATGTGAGAAGGAGGATTTTTTTATTCTATTCTGGATTTAACAGGAAGCCAATGAGGAGAAGGTAGAATAGGAGAGATATGATCTCTCTTTTTCATTTTCATCAGAACTCTGGCTGCAGCATTTTGGATCAGCTGAAGGCTTTTAACTACAGTTTATGGACTTCCTGATAGTAAAGAATTACAATATTCCAGCCTGGTAGTAACAAATGCATGGACTAGTTTCTCAGCATCACCCCTAGACAGGATATTTCAAATGTTTGCAATATTATTATTGCAATATTATATTGCAATATCAAATTATAGAAACCTCTTTGATATGGGGTTTAAATGACAGGTCCTTATCAAAAATAACACCAAGATTTTCACTTTATTATCTAAGATCAGTTTAATCCCATCCAGATGACGTGACTGACTAAAGTTAACAGAGAATACATATTGATCAGGATCACAAGAAAATCTGTCTTGGTTATGACAATTAAAGATGTCTCTTGTTTGGAAAAACTTGTCACATTCTCTGCTCCCATTTTTTCACAACTCTCATCGAATCTTCGGCAGTCTGGTCTCTCCTCTATGGTCTGTGATCTTAAAGCTAATTCTGCAGCATAATTAAAAAACATCCAGTATGCAATAGTTTTGAGGAATGTTATAACGATTTCACTCTTGACTATAAACGTTAATAAGTGTAATGTCTTCTTCAAATGGTCATAATGGACTAATAAGTATTAGCCTTGTCAGTCCATCCATCCATCTTCTCCCACTTAATCCTGTCAGGGTTGCGGTGGGGACGGTGCCTGTGGGCGAGAAGCGGGGTACACCCTGGATAGTTCGCCAGTCTGTCACCAGGCAACACAGAGACACACAACCATTCAATTCAATTCAGTTTATTTACATAGCGCCAATTCACAGCTCAAAGCAGTTCAACCAGATCATACAGTAAAATTGATCAAAGTTTTCTATCTAAGGAAAACCAGTTGATTGACTCATTGACTCATTGACTCAAATGCAATCCCTCACACTTAACGTGTTTGTAGCGACAGTGGAGAGGAAAATATTCCCTTTTAACAGGAAGAAACCTGCAGCAGAACCAGGCTCAGTGTGAGCGGCCATCTGCTGAGGCCGACTGGGGTTCAAGGAGACAGAAGCAGAGATACCATTCACAGACACTCAAACCCCAAGCACAATCTAGAGAAGCCTATTAACTTAACAATAATGTTTTTGGATTGTGGGAGGAAGCCGGAGCACCCGGAGAGAACCCACTCATGCACAGGGAGAACATGCAAACCGATGCAGAAAGACCCCGAGCCAGGAATCAAACCCAGACCCTTCTTGCTGCAAGGCAGCAGTGCTACAAACTGAACTGTGCAGTCCCCTTTTGTTTATTTATAAGTTATTAATTTAGGGGTTTTATTGCTTTACTCATATAAAACGTTTTTTTAATTATTTTGTACTTTTGATTCAATTCAGTTTTGTTTAGTTATATAACGCTAATTCACAACACATGTCATCTAGAGGCCCTTTATGGGGAGACTTCAGTCAGATCATCCAGTAATATTGGTTCTTGCAAATGTTGAAATTAGGGATGCACGATATAATCGGCCCCCTATCGGTATCGGCCTGTATCGGCCTTAAAACTGAATATCGGACATCGGCCACCCCACCGATATTTAACCCGATATTTGATCAGCTTCTGAGTTTCTAAAGTCTAAAAAAAAAAATAAAAAAAAATACTACTACTTCTTCCTCAAAAACTTCTTTTTTACAGACTTAAAAACTTCTAAAGACGAGGGAAAAAATATTGATACATTAAAATATCACAATATCTTCATATGCTGATATATAGCCATTTAAAAACACCATATCAATCTCTTTTACTAATGAAATATTGCTGTATGTCATTGAAACTTTGCCATATTTTTATATGTTGATATATTGATGCGGTATCGATCTATTTTACTAACAAAACTCACAAGAATTTGCAAAATATCACGAGAGTTTGTAACAGAACGATGAAGTTTCACGAGATTTTGAAAGTAAAATAGATCGAAACCGCGTTTTTAAAAATCAATTTGATAACAGCATATGAAAATATATTTGAGTATATTATTTTTCAAAGTGTCAGAAATGGATAACAAAACTGCTATTTTCAATGACTACTTATTTTTTTCCAGCTTTAACATCGGTATCGATATCGGTTATCGGCTACATGAGTTTTAAAATATCGGCATATTGGATATCGGCGAAAATCCCAATATCGTGCATCCCTAGTTGAAATAAATTAGTCAATGCATATTATTTCTTGTATTTTTTCCCTTTTGTTTGATCGATTAAAAAAAGGGAATAATCAATACCAGATTGATAGATATCATTAAGAGTAGCAGTATTCAGTAACCCTTATTTATTTATTTATTTATTTTTATTTACTTTTAAGGTGTCCTGTCAATGTGACAATAAGAATAATTGTCTTGATGCCAAAAAAAGAGAGCCCGACAGATTTTGCTTTCACAAGTGGAGCAGTACAGCTTTCACCATAATGTTCTGCTTGATTTATGCATATAAATAGCTTTATTATAATACATGCAGGGAGTTTTACAGAGGATATGGACACAGTAATGTAAGTAGAACAGGAAAGGAAAAAATGGGAAAATATGAAAGAAAGAAATAAAAGGGAGATAAGGATAAAACCTCTTCAGTCTACTTCACCTGCAAAGAGATGTAAAAAGAACAGCACAACTAATGAATATAGTATAAGAGATACAATAAAGTAACACCTTAATACTATTGTTGAAGTATAAGTAGTATTATTTAATCTGACATGTATTCTGTGGTAGCTGAAGATAAGAATATGGGCTTTCTGTATGGAAGTGAATCCCTAAGTACCTGGAACCAAGCACCTGTAGTTGTTTATGAGGGTGCACTGTGCATGTAAAGTTTATCCAAAGGAAAAATGCTCAATAGTGGTTGTGAAGAGCCGAAGAGGCGCCCTCCCCAGAGCACCAAGGCAAGCGCCGGGGGACCCAAAGCCCCAGACGTCCAAAGGGATTAAACCTTATTTATACCTATAACTGCCCATTAGATTGGTTAAAATGTTTCTATTTAAGGAAACTAAATAGTTTCTGTATTAGAGAAGGTAATGGCTCCATAAGTGGTTTTGTCAAGAAAAGAAACAGTTAAGCAGATGAGCTCTGACGCGGTTGATACAGAGAATTTGAATTATTCAAATGTTTTAATAATTATGTGTATGAAATTATTGTTGAATCATTAAAAAGAGTTATGGTAGCATTGATCATAAGAAAGTCTACCAGGTGTGTCCTGTGCCACTGGCCTGATAGCTTAGAACAGGGTTGGGGTTGGTGATTCAATACAGAGAGGTTCTGATGAGACTAGAGGGATGGTTTTGTCTTTTATTCAAGTGGATTTTAGTGAGTTCCTTGTGCACAGTTACTGCACCTTTGCCTTGAATAGTCAACATGAACAGTTCTACTAAATGATCCTGAGCCAATCCATTTTTCTATC